ATGAGAAAAATAAATCAAAGATAAGAATTGAAGATGAAGAAACAAAATTAAATGCAAAAAAATTAATTGCCTGTGGAGAATATACAAAAGAAACTACAGATAAATTGCTAAAACTAGTAAGAGAGTTCAATAAATCTTCTGTATACGAAATCGATTATATTCCCTTTACGTCAGTAGCAAACTGATGTAACTTTAGAAATGTAACTTTTAAACATACCTTTTTAAGTGTGCAACAAAATAAAGAAGATAACTAGCAATAATTTGACAAAGATGCATATAGGGAAATTATGAAATTTTATTGAAGACATTAAACAAGGCCTAAATCAACGGAGAGACGCACCATGTCCCCGGCTGGGAGACAGCATCACAGAGCTGTCAGGATTGGCCAAGTTAATCTGTATTTCAATGCAATTCCAGTAAGACTCTCAGCAGAATTCATGTGACTCGACAAATTGATCCTGAGGAGTCCACGGGAGAGAGAAGGAAAGTGAGTAGCCGAGGCAAATTCTGAAGGGCAGGCCGCGGGGACTGCCGGTGAGAGCGCGGCATGCCGCCAAGCCATAGTCATTAAGACAAAGGGTTCCTCGGTGCCGAGATAGACAGACAACCTCCAGGGTAGAATGAAAAGGCTGGCGCGGTGCCCACACGCCTATGGATATGCAATTTATGTCAGAACAGATATGTCGAATAAGTAGGTACGATGTACTATTCGATAAATAGTATTAAGAAAATTGATTATACAGAAAAAGATAAAAGCATATTTCTACCTCACATCATATATGAAAATAAATTCCAGGTTAATGAGTTATCATGAAAACAAAACTTTAGAACTTCTAGAAGAACATAGAGGAGAATGTCTTCATGGCCTGGAATAGATAGGAAGGATTTTTTGAACAAGATACAAAAAGCACAAGGAAAAAAACATAAATTTGACCACACTGAAACTTAAAACTTAGAGTCATTAAAATATACCGTAAATAAAGCTTGAGACAAGCCATAGACTGGAAGAAGATACTCATAATGCATACACTATAAAGAATATATAAAGGACCCTGAAAATAAACAAGATAAATAACCCACGAGTCAAATAAGCAAAAATATGAACATGAAATTCAATAGAAGATAAAATCTAAATTCTCAACCCACTAAGCATTTTAAAACCAAATTAAAACGTCAGTGAAACATCATTTCATGCCCATGATAGGAGAAATATTTTTAAAAATCCACCACTACCAAGCGTTGATGAGTCTGCAAAGCAATGACATTTCTCCTGCACTGACAATAGGAGTCTAAGTTGGACCGACACGGGGGCAGCACAGCACGCCTGGGAAAATGAAGACATGTACCTTCAACTGGCAGTTCCACTTCTGAGCAGACAGCAGGACATGGACGTGCATGTTTATTGCAGTGTTATTTGTAATAGCAAAAAAAAAAAAAAAAAATTGAAAAACCCAAATGACCTTAAGTAGGAGGGTGGGTTTTTTTAATGGCGTGAATGAACTAGGGCTAAAATATATGACATGGCTAATGCCCAGAAACTTCGCGTGGACTGCAACAAGAGCAAGTCTGCAGAAAAGGTACTGTGTATTACAGATAGTATCACTGTTTATGTAAAGTTTTGAAACATTCAGAATGACGCTGTGTGTTTTCATATTTAGTGAAGGTATCCGAGCACTCGGGATGAGAAACGCCAGGCCCATTTAGTGATTCCCTCTGGGGAAGGAGGCAGAGGGGCTTCCCTGGCACCTGGGATTGGCTGCGTGAGTGTAGCTCTCCCTCTCTTCTCCAGGTGTGCCACCGGCGAGGCCTGGCAGGACATCATGCTGGCCTGCATGCCAGGCAAGAAATGTGCCCCAGAGTCCGAGCCCAGCAACAGCACAGAAGGCGAAGCCCCCTGCGGCAGCAGCTTTGCTGTCTTCTACTTCATCAGCTTCTACATGCTCTGTGCCTTCCTGGTAAGCCGAGGTGGGCTCCGCAGCCATAGGTGGGAGTGTGCGGTTCCAGGGCAGCTCGAGCCCTTGATCTCTGCAGCTCATGGTCAGGGCAATCCCATTGGAGGAGCTGGCTTGGGAAGACTAAGTTAGTAGGAATGGCCAGCCACACTGAGATAGAGGCAAAAAGCCCTGGGCCCGAGTGGGCTCAGCCAGCATCTTGCTTGTCCATTCTCGGCTCTTGTCATGGTGGCATTGTCCCAGAGGACACAGGGGACATGTGGAAGCCTAGAGGGAATGTATACTTTTTTGGCACCTTGCTGAGGAGTGAGGGAAAGGTGGTACGTATAGTCTATCCCTGTCCTGGGCAGCCCTGCCCAGCAGCTTGGTAGGAGGGAAGCTGTCTAGCCCTGTGTGGGTTCATCCCACACAGCTCTCCAGGAAGCTGTGTCAAGCACACGTCCAAGACACCCAAGTTCTAGGAGTGGTGGGACATGCTGCTGGTATTTAGAAATGTTGGCTTCTGCCGTGCACAGGCACTGGCTAGCAAAGTGGATCGAGTGGAAAGTAGGAAAGTCCTCGCAGAGTGCTTCACTGTACCGACTGTTCTCTGCAGATCATCAACCTCTTTGTAGCTGTCATCATGGACAACTTTGACTACCTGACAAGGGACTGGTCAATCCTCGGTCCTCATCACCTGGATGAATTTAAAAGAATCTGGGCAGAGTATGACCCTGAAGCCAAGTAAGTTCCCAGAGGGAAATCCTGACCCCCCCAGGCTGAGAGACGGTGTTGGCTGGCCACGCGTGCAGGAGAGGTTCAGACGGGCCAACACCGGGTGGACCATTTGGAAATACTGACTGCCCCAGGCCCCAGGGTGAAGGGTCAAGGGCCAGGGAGAGGAGGCCAGGCACCTTCGACTCATGCAAGAACACACCTGTTATGTTCAGTTGAGTGGAAGGACAGGAGGCCCTAGTATCAGGAATAACTAGCAAGTGCTCAAGTTAGGATGTTTGGGGCCGGGTAGATCTCAGCTTTGTGCCTTCATTAATCCTTAATCGATCGCATTTGACTGATAGTAAATACCTTTTGGTCAGATGGTCAGTTGATTGAAGCAGCAAGTACAATTGAAGAATTCCTTTGCACTGCTGAAATCCCTTCCACCTTGAACATAGCATGGACAGAAAATTGCTTATTAAAATCCAAACACGTGTAGGTTGGGTGTGCGGTTGTACCACACAGTTCTGCAGCTCTGCCCCTGAGTTTGACCGACAGAGCCTCACTGGCGTGTGCCCTGTGGGCTGGCCCCACCTCGCAGGACCCCGCAGAAACTCGGCCTCTGACTGCTCGTCCCCCGCCCCTTCCTTTTCTAGGGGTCGTATCAAACACCTAGATGTGGTGACCCTGCTCCGGCGGATTCAGCCCCCGCTGGGCTTTGGGAAGCTGTGCCCCCACCGCGTGGCTTGCAAAGTAAGAGAGGACCTGGGTTCATGGGCAAAAGAGACAAAATGTGGGAGGCGAGACGCCTATTTGTCTTAGGACCTGCGTTGGGCCACGGATCCTAAAGGCGATTGAAGAGAGTGCTTTATGTGCCTAAGGAAATGAGCCTGAGCCGGGCTGTATTTTAAGGGTCCTTCCAGCTCTGATCCTCAGACCCTCCAGAGGAGCCACAGAGAGAACGCCTCACGTCCCAGCGAGCATGTGCCCGTCCTGGGTCAAGGACGTGTTCGGCCATCTGACTGCACCGTCCAGGCACCCCGGGAGAACTCCCAGCCCGGGGGCAATGAGTTAGGGTTCTCCTGGGGTCAGAGGGCCATTAGAGAGTCCGTGCATTAGTGTCACGAGAGTGGGGGGAGCGCAGCCTGCATTAGCTTCAGTGCAGCCTGGACGGGGCTGAGAGGCATCCGCGTGATCCCGAGACGGGCCCCGGCAGGCTGCGCACTGGCCTCTGAGCTTTGCAGTAGCCGCTGTACGGTTCACACTGTCCGTGAGATCCAAAAGGATCCAGTCATTCAGGAAAAGTACAACCTTTTGGCACTTAGAGTCACAGGAGCTTGTGGACAGCATTAGGGAGGACGCCGTGGTGAGCCCCAGGCCAGGGCTTTCTCGTCCCGCCCCAGCACCTGCTGGCGGCACCGCCCTAGAGCACAGGGAGCACACAGCATGGGTGGGAAAGGGGGCAGCGGGAATACAGTCCCATCGGTGTCAGCAGCTTCTGACCCTGCATGGTGAGAGGACACACTGTCCTCCTTAGTCCCGTCTGCGCGGGGGATGGCTGCGGCCAAGGCTCCCAGCCAGTGCCGGCCGCGCAGCCGTGCTTTGCTGCCAGCGGAGAGCACGGTGTGCACCGAGCAGACCCCTGGGCCGGGCGGGAGGTCGCGTGGGCTTCCCATCCTGCTGTGCAGGTGGGGCTCTACCGAGGGCTCTCATGGCCAGGCCGAGATTCTCCCTGGAAAGTTTCGAACACGTTCTAGGGGCCCGTGCTTCACACCCCACCCATCCCAATGACACCGCTTGAGCTTTGAGTCTCCCCCGCAGCCTTCTCCTGCCGTGGTGGTTCTGTAGGTCCCTCGAGAACCTTCTGCTGTAACCACCGGCTTTGCCCCTTGCCCTGCAGCGCCTGGTTTCCATGAACATGCCTCTGAACAGCGATGGGACGGTCATGTTCAATGCCACCCTGTTCGCCCTGGTCAGGACAGCCCTGAGGATCAAAACAGAAGGTAAGGGTGTCTGTGGGCACTGGGGAGCCACCCAGAAGGTCCAGCAGACCCACCAAGGAGGATCAGCAGTCTGCAGAGTGCTCTGGACCTTCCTGCCCGTATGGCGCCAAGCAGGGAGCCGGGGCCAAGCCGCACTCCCGAGCATCGAAGAGGCCCCGCCTGCCTGTGTTTTCGTCGCCTACTGAATGGCCTTCTTGCCTTTAGCTTGTTTATTTTGAACTCTAGCCTTCCCTGAAACCCTAGAAATTATTCTGGGTGATATTTTGAAGTCATAGGGTGTAGTTCAAAAACAGAAGGAGATGGTGTTAGCTGAAGCAGGACCAAGCCCCGTCTGGGTGGACTTACCCTGGCTACGGGTGGGTCTTTCAAGTGCTCAGGTCTCTTCGAACTGAAAGGGTCTGTGCTGGGAAGACGTGCCGGGAAGGGCGCGTGGTAACCAGCGGTGAGCGGGCGCGGTCCTCACGTACGACTGCGCAGGCTAGGCCCAGCACAGGGCAAGGTTAAGTTCCCACCCGTGCGGCACCAGTCCGGCCACGCCCCCTCGGGGCTGCGTCCATCTGGCGGGGGCTTCTAGTTTGCACAAAGGCGCCCTGTGGGCTAGTGGGCCAGCAGCCTCTGTGGCTGTCTTTATAATTGATAAGGACACTTATCACTTGCCACTCTGGGGAAAAGGCTGTATAAAACGTACCTGTGATGATGCTATCTCTCTCCAAGAGCCTCTAGCCCATCGCAGTGTTTCTTAGAGAGTGGTCAGAAGACCACCTGCCTTAGAATGAGCTGTTGGCACTTGTTTAAAATATGACATCCCAAGTACCCGCACAGATCTGCTGAATCTGAATCTCTCAGTGGGGCTCGGGAATCTGCGTTTTGAACCAGCTGCACAGATGATTCACACCCACTGGCTAGAGCAGTTAGAGAAAACGCAGACGACACAGGCAGCATGTTTTCATTCTCTTTTATTTTCTTTTAGACAGAGTCTTGCTCTGTTGCCCCAGGTAGAGTGCAGTGGCGTCATCATAGCTCACTGCAGCCTCAAACTCCTGCACTTAAGTGATCCTCCTGCCTCAGCCTCCTGAGTAGCTGGGACTACAGGCATGCGCCACCATGCCCGAGCTAATTTCTCTATTTTTAGTAGAGACGGGGTCTCGCTCTTGCTCAGGCTGGTCTCGAACTCCTGACCTCAAGTGATCCTCCCGCCTCAGCCTCCCAGAGTGCTGAGATTACAGGCGTGAGCCACCGCGCCCGGCCGGCACATTTTCTTTTCCCCTCCCCTTTAACCTGAGAGGCTCAGGCTGCCAGTTGGTGTTTTCCTTGGTGCAACAGAAGGAGCCCTGGGCAGGGCGACAGGAGGTTTGAAGCGGACTCCCAGCTCTCTCTAGTGACATGAGTCTGAGCCATTTATTCTGTTTCTACTTCAGTTGCTTCATGTGTAGAATGAAGACAGGTGATGGTGTGGTTCAGGGAATAACCCAGAGAGGGACCTTCTCTTAGTTAGATCCTCCCATAAAAAATAACAAATGTCTGAAATGAAGGGCAGCGAAATCAATCCAGCAAGATACGTGTCAAAATAATGAGCTAATCCCTAAGAAAGGAAAATAGGTCAAGTTTTACTGCTAAATTAAAAAGAAAGCAAATACCATTAGTAGCCAGTGCAGTAACTCAATCTGAAATGGGTGTAAATAGGCCTATTTCTAAACTACACATTTAATGCACACATATGTGTGTGTATAACATAGAAGAAAAATTTGGGCCAGGTGCAGTGGCTCACGCCTGTTACCCTAGCACTTTGGGAGGCCAAGGCGGGAGGATTGCTTGAGACAGGGAGTTCAAGACCAGCCTGAGCAAGAGCAAGACCCCGTCTCTACTAAAAATAGAAAAATTAGCTAGGCATGGTGGTGCACACTTGTAGTCCCAGCTTCTTGGGAGGCTGAGGTGGGCGGATCCCTTGAGCCCAGGAGTTTGAGGTTACAGTGAGCTGTGATCGTGCCACTGCATTCCAGCCTGGGTGACGGAGTGAGACCATGTCTCAAAAAAAACATTGGAAGGAAATTTATTAATATGCTAATATTATCACTGAGTGGTAGAATCAGCAGTGACTTTTACCTTCTTCCTTTAGTTTTGTTACTTTCCAAATTTTCTACGATGAATATTATTACATCCATGTTTAGGAGAAAGAGTTTTCTTTTCCAAGGAGAGGAGATGTTATAATGACTGCTAGAGAGAATATGCTATAATACTTACAGCTTGATGTAAATTAAGGGTTGTAAGTTTTCGTTCCATAGAAGAAAAAAAATAGCGACGCACAGAGGGAGAGATTCGGCAATGTTGCAGATTCATTGTCAAAGCTCACCACATCCCAACTAAATCATACCAATAGCTGATACCAAGGCAGAGGAACCCACCAAAAATAGTCAAATACAGAGAGCCAATCTTGAAGAAGTGGGAATTCCAAAGAAAAGGGGGAAAGCCAGTCATGTGAGAACTACCGTCAAGGCAAGAATTAAAGAAAATTTTTTAAACACAAAGGCATTTCAGAATAGCCACCAAAGGGCCTGTCGTGCGGCCCCCGCGCCATGAAGGGTGAGCCTCCATCAGAGACACGCCCCCCCCACAAACTTGTTGAAATCTTAAGGCTGGAAGACAAAGGCAAGTTCTTAGAAGCAACTAGAAAAACCTGTGAGAAAACATCTAAATTTGTGAGGATACACTTAAATCTATCCTCACCCTTCAGACTTCTGAGAGTGGAAGGGAAGGAGAGAAATTAGCATCTCCTTCAGAGAACCAGAGACCCCCCACCCCCGGGCTCACACCCACCGGCCAAACGAGCTTTTCTCTGGGAACACAGAAGGAAGACGCTCAGAAATACTCAGATGACCTGAAACAATGGTCAGTGAAGGTCCACAGTTACAAAGACCATTCTTAGACTAAATTAAGGCCTGATAAAATTTGGAAGATGTATTCGTTTCCTAGGTCTGCCGCAACAAACCGTCGCAAACTGGGTGGCTGAAAACAAGAGAAGGTCGTTCTCGCACAGTTCGGGAGACCAGAGGCCCACAGCTAAGGGGTCGGCGGGTTGGTTCTTTGTGGGGGCTCTGGGGAGAGTCCCTCCCCTCCTCTCCTGGCTGCTGGTGGTGGCCAGCACCAGCCACGGCCACACCCCTCCTCCTCTGCCTCCGGCTTCCTCTCGTCTCCTCACCTGGTCCTAAGCCACCGTGACTGAGTCTTAACTGCGTCCATCTGTGAAGACCCTGTTTCCAACTGAGGTCACATTCTGAGGTTCCGGGTAGACATGAGCACATGAGATTCCAGGGGGACGTCATCCAACCCAGTGGAGAAGATCAGTGTATTTGAACTTACTGTGTTTGAACAGTATATTGATCAGGACTGTTCGCTTCATGGGCAGACACCTCCCACGACCCTACCCACGAAGGGACCTAATCTCCGCCTAAGTGAGGAGTGCTCACTGACGTCCTCCGTCCTCCGGCTCGGCTGTTTGGATCTGATGTGCAAACCAGGAGCTCGGGAGCCCAGCACTTTCTCTTCGTTGTCACCCCTGCCTGCTCTCCCATGTGGCCCCAGAGGTGGCTCTGAACGCAGGCAGTCTGACACCCGCCCTCAAGCACTGTTCCATCTGCCTCTCCCGTGTGCTAGCAGTAAACGTCCCCGATGTCAGTTCCCTACTGCTGCATAATAAATTGCCACAAACCTTTTGGCTTAAAATGACACCTAGTTATGAGCTCATAGTTCTATAGGTCAGAAGTCCAGCTGTGGAGTAGCTGGGTTCTTTACTCAGGGTCTCACGAGACCAAACTCAGAATATCCATCAGGCTGTGTGCTCTTCTAGAGGCTATGGGGAAGTCGCCACCTCTAAGCTTGTAGAGGTTGTTGGCAGAATTCACATCTTGCCGTTGTAGGTCTGTGGTCTCCGTTTTCCTGCTCGCTGTCCGCTGGGGACCACTCCCAGTCCCTGCAGATGCCCTCTCAGTTCGGCTCACAGCATGGGTGTCTGCCTTCTTCCCGGCCAGCCAGAGCCCGTCTCTCGCTGCCTCTCCTGCTCCCAGCTGGAGGGACGTCTCTGCTTTCAAAAGGCCCATGTGATACAGTCAGGCCCACCTAGATAATCTCCCCGTTTTAAGGCCATAGGTGCCGTGTAATGCTACCTAACCACGGCAGTAAAATCCATCGTGTTTCTGGTCCCGGGGATTGGTGGGGGCAGGCAGATATCCTGGGGAGCGTCTTAGAATCTGCCCGCCCCATCCCTTGTACAGCTGTGGGTCTCAGCCCGCCTTTTCCACCGCTGCCAGGCCAGGATCCCAGAGGCTGCCTGGGGTGGGCACCTCATTAAGTCTGTTTTACCAGTAGACCCAGAGAGAATTCCAAACCACAGAGATGGGCGTCTCTTGATTTCTGCTTCCACAGTTAGATTTTGCCACCTCCTCCCCAGGGGAGACTCGGAGGGCAGAGCCCTCATTGGCACAGAGGAGCCAGTGTGTGTGGGGGAGACTTCTTCCCCCAATCATCCGGGTTTCCTGTGGTGCCTCTAGGAGGCCCATAAGAAATGCCTCCCACAGGGAGCGCCCCCACTGCTCCCCGGGCTAATGCGTCTTTGAGCTGGCAAGCACGCGGGCCCCGGTGGAGCTGCCCAGCCGCCGGGCACAGTCCACGAGGAAAAGCATCGAGTGTCAGGTGGGGCGGAGGGACCCCCTGGCTGGCCTGAGCAACACGCAGCAGGAGGGGAGAGGAATGGTTCTGGACAGGACACGGGAGGGAAGGGCGAGGGAAGGGAGGTGAAGAGAGAGAAAGAGGAAGAGGAAAGAGGTGGAGATAGGAAAGCTAGGGAGAAACTAAACAAGGAAGAAAGAAACTGACGGGTCAGGGCCACACGTGGGCCAAATGCCACCATCTATGGCTTCGTGCTTTATTCAGAGGAACCCACCACATCGGAGGGCTCTCCGCTCTCCAGGAGGCTGATCCTTACATCTCCCTTCCCTCAGGGAACCTCGAACAAGCCAACGAAGAGCTGCGGGCCATCATCAAGAAGATCTGGAAGCGGACCAGCATGAAGCTGCTGGACCAGGTGGTGCCCCCTGCAGGTGGTGAGTGCTGGATTTCTGCACCTGGGCGGCTCGCCCACCCCGTGGTTCCTCCGCCTGCCTCTCCTCCAGCAGTGGCACCATTAGAAACGTGGCCACATCCCCTGGGACGGGACATGCGTTCTTGAGTCTACTAGGCTTGCTGGAGGCCCATTTTCTCCAGACCCTTCCTGTGGGGCCCAAAGGCCCCGTTGGTTGGAAGGGACGGGGTATGAAGCAGAAGCAGACTGTCAGGTTGGAGCCTGGTGCAAACTTGCATTTACATATGGAAACAGGCAGGTCCCTTGATGCTTGGAGGTTTGGCAGAACGTCCGAGGAAACTCCACAAAGTATAGGTGTTGCCATAAACCCAACCGCCGTGGCCTGCTGCAGGCCCTGGAAGAAGAATCCCCTGGGATTCCAGCCCTCTTGGTTGAAATTCTTTTTGTTCTTCCTAGAACAGTGTCTCCTGACCCTATCAAGCCCAAAGCCCCTTTTTATAACAAATAGTTTATATTTCCCCTGCTATGATCCCAAATGAAAATCATAGATAATGTAACCTTCCTAAACATATAGTTTCCAAAATATTAATATAATGCTTTAAGTTTAATAAAATATATTAAAAGTAAATGTTTTCAATATATAAATGCTCAGCCACAACTATGCCAGAAATTATTAACAGATGAAATGCTCACAGTTACCTGCTTATTATGAGTAAGTTTGTTTAAAGGAAGTAAGGCAATACTTATTATTGTTGGCACTTTTTATTTGTCATTTTTAAATAAGGACTAAATAAGTATATTAAATAAGTATGTGTGTATATACATACACACGCATACGTACACACACACACAGAATAACCACCATGTGAGAGTTACGATGGGGGACTCTGGTCCCACAGAGAGCATGGCCATCAGGGATACGATTTTCCAAAATGTGAACCCCTCTTGGTCAAGTTCAAACAATACAAAGTATAGTCTTCTGTCAATTTACACAGCAGTTATATTCCTGGAAAATTCTGGGCATATTAAAACCATGCAAGAAAAGGTCTTATGTCCCTGTGTAAAACAAAATCAGGTTCTTGGCTCAGATCGTTATAAGCAGGTCGTTCCCCATGTAGATGTGTAACGTAACACTTGAAAGCTGCGCAGAGTACAAAGCTGTGGTTTGTTGGGCGACACACACCTGTGCTTGAAGACACAGTCCCCAACCTTTTTGACACCAGGGACTGGTTTCATGGAAGACAGTCTTTCGGGGAGGTCGGGGGTGGGTGGGGGAGGCGGAGCTCAGGCGGTGATGCGAGTGATGGGGAGCGGCTGTAAATATGGATGAAGCTTCACTCACTCGCCCCGCCGCTCCCCTCCTGCTGCGTGGCTCGGTTCCTAACAGGCCACGGACTGGTGCTGGTCCATGGCCCAGGGGGTTGGGGACCACCGCTTCAAGGGACATGTCTACAACCACTTAATGCTGGTACCACCCCAAAATCACTCTGACAACTAAAAAGCATCCCGCACACTTGCCAAGCATTCCTTCCGAGATGCTGCCACCCGTGCTGAGAACTCCTTCCTGAAGGGAGAGCAGGGCTCAGGCTCAGCGAAAAATCCCCTGGCGTGGCCAAGGGCCACCTGATGTCATATTTAATCCCCACATTTCTTTGAAGGCTGCTCGAGGAACTAAAGTCTTGGAAGCTGCGAGGCCAACCCAAGGTTCCTGGCGAGCACAGAGCAGGCTCCAGGTTCAGAGCCAGGTCCGAGGGCGCCTAGGACACCAGGCTCTTTCCACAGTGCAGCTCCTCCTCCCTGGCCACCCTGGACAGGGGCCCCTGGGCTCTTCCCTCCCACAGGGGAGTGAGGTCCTTGCCAGATGGAAGGCTCATTACTGCTGTGCGTTCGGCTACTCTCGAGAGACAGCAGGAGCAGGAGAGCCAGCTCAGTCCCCTAGGTCTGACCCCACCAGCTGTCTCCCTCACAAAGAACCCGGAGGTGGAGCCAGGGGCTACTTGCTGGGTGTGAAATGCTCCCCTTGGGCACTACGGCTTCGGCACCATCAGGCTCACTTCCAAGGTAGAGACTGATGCATGTCGTGTGTGATCTCGAGTGCCCAGCCTGGCAGAGACGCAGCCAAGCCACCTGGTACAAACATCTGTCTGGTTTGAAAGAAAAATGCAAACTTCAACAGGAGGAAAAGCGCTCTTTCCACCAACCCCTCCCCCCAGCCTTTAAGCAGAACGACTTGTGCACTTGGGGTCTAGGGGACTGGCCAGTCGATGATGGGCATTTGGAATCGAGCATTGGCAGTGTCAATTAAGTAAAAGAAAAAGCAAGATGGGAAATAATTTTGATGATAGGCTATCTTTTCTGTAAGAAAAAAAGGATAAGAATATGTTTGCATATTTACATATATCGTTTGCACAAAGAATCTCTGGAAAATACTCAAGAAACTAATTTAAAAAAAGGGCTATCTGCTAGGAGGTGGTAACTAGGCAGATAGGGGCTGTGGTGGGCGAGACTTTTCACTGTATGCTTTTTTATATGTTTTTCTCTTTTTGAGCCATGTGAATGTACTCTCTCTCCAAAAAATTAAATTTAAAAAGTTGCCTAGGTGGCACACGCCTGTAATCCCAGCACTTTGGGAGGCTGAGGCAGGAGGATCCCTTGAGCACAAGCGTTCGAGGCTGCAGTGAGCTGTGATCCTGCCACTGCACTCCAGCCTACCCCGTCTCTAAAAAAAAAGTTAAGAAAGTCGGAATGCTGAGAAAAATCAGCTACATCCAACTCGGTTCCCCTGCCTACCTCTAACTCCCTCTCCTCTCTCCGTGCGTCTCAGATGATGAGGTCACCGTCGGCAAGTTCTATGCCACCTTCCTGATCCAAGAGTACTTTCGGAAATTCAAGAAGCGCAAAGAGCAGGGCCTTGTGGGCAAGCCTTCCCAGAGGAACGCCCTGTCCCTGCAGGTGAGGCGCTGGGGAGGGGTCCACACCGCAGGAAGGTCCTGGTCACTTTCCTCTGACCTTGGCCAGGGTCCCGGTCTCTGGGCAGTCCCTTCAGAAGGGGCCTTCTGAGAGTGCCAGCCTTTCTGAAGGTGGCTGTGAGGACGGGTGTTGCGATCCTCCCCTCCTCCATCCCCCGCGCTGCCCTCCACAGTCCTGCCTGCTGTCCCTGCCCACCCGGAGCTGGCCTGAGCTCTGCTGAGGGTCCCGTGGCAGCCCCCGGGCGGTCCCTCCTAATGCGCCCTCTTCCCTCCTGGGTGGGCTAGTGGTTTCTTCCTCCCGAGAGCAGCCAGAGCGGGCCCAGGGACGCCTGGCCCTGGTCCACACACACACAGCTGTACCTTCCGGCGGGTCGGGGCTGGGTGGAGGGCGCCAGGGGCCCAACCCTGGGCAGTGACTGCCTAGAAAGTTTGGTGGAAAGGGACCGAGGTCCTCACACGTGCGTCTGGGTTCCAGGCTGGCTTGCGCACACTGCATGACATCGGGCCGGAGATCCGCCGGGCCATCTCTGGAGATCTGACCGCTGAGGAAGAGCTGGACAAGGCCATGAAAGAGGCGGTGTCCGCGGCTTCCGAAGACGACATCTTCAGGGTAGGTGGTACCACGGCGCACTCCGCACCTCCATAAAGTTCGGTTTGGAGCAGGAGCATGCGCTGGGGTTCTGCCAAGCGCGTCTCGGGAGAACGGCCTGAGCTCAGTGGGCGATTCTAGGCTCTTCCCGCTCGGCGGCCTCCTTACCCTCTGCCTTTTCCAAGCCCGACTCCAGCCCAAGCCAGGGCTCCCAGGACGTGGTGACTCACAGGATGTCACTGGTCCCCGGGAAAGGGGAAGGAGCCATTTTCCTAAGGGAAATGTTTCCTAGGAGAAACTTCTACATTAGACGTTGCAGCGTGAAACTCATGCCTAGTCTTCAGGGGGTCAGCTGGAGACCTCCACCCGCACCCTCTGCAGGCCGTTCCCACGGGCCTAGGCCTTCCTGGCCCTCACCTCCTGCGGCTGCTGCAGAGGGAACTGTGGGACCCCTAGTGTCTGGGACCCTCCCTCTCTGGAGCTGCCAGGCATGAAGTTCCCGTCCACCATGTGCTCCATGGCTGCGCCTCTCCTGAGGGCAGACAGCCTTCCCGTGCCCCGCACTGCTCCGGCCTGGCTGTCCGAGGCTTCTCCCTGTGAGCAAGAGCGGGAGCTGGGGGGCTTGTCTTCCACCCACCCCTCCCGTCTTGCCTGCAGAGGGCCGGTGGCCTGTTTGGCAACCACGTCAGCTACTACCAAAGCGACGGCCGGGGCGCCTTCCCGCAGACCTTCACCACGCAGCGGCCACTGCACATCAACAAGGCGGGCAACAGCCAAGGCGACACCGAGTCACCCTCCCACGAGAAACTGGTAGACTCCACCTTCACCCCCAGCAGCTACTCGTCCACGGGCTCCAACGCCAACATCAACAACGCCAACAACACCGCCCTGGGCCGCGTCCCCTGCCCTGCCGGCCACCCCAGCACCGTCAGCACCGTGGAGGGCCACGGCCCCCCCTTGTCCCCTGCCGTCCGGGTGCAGGAGGCAGCGTGGAAGCTCAGCTCCAAGAGGTAAGCTGGAAGGCGGGGTGCCCAGGGCCGTGCACAGGGCCACGCTCTGCAGCCCACAGCAGCCTGAATGCAGAGAGGGAGGCCCCGGCCTGGCCCCGCCCCGAAAGAGCCTCCATGGAGACCCCAGACCCCAGCAAGAGGGGGGCACCACCTGTCGTGCTCAGGAGAAGCCGGCATCACTGGTGGCAGCGGCAGCTGCCTCATCCTCCCTGAGCAGGCCAACGTGAGCCTCTGAGATGCCGTGTTCTGGCTACACAACAGACACCATCCCTTCTGCGCCTTCCCGGGTCTCCCCTCAAACCTGGCCTTTCACCCAGCTGAGAAGGGAATGGCGTTACCGCCTCTTCGTCAGAGCCCTGTGTGCCCCTTCTGGGCAGGGCGCCTGGGTACAGGGGGCCCTCTCTGTAGCTCTGGCCCATTCTGCCCCAGGGTGGGGTCATTCCTGGTGGTCTTGATGGCACCTCCCACCTGCCGGCACCCTCTTTCCGCCCCGTCTCCCCGTTCTCTGCTCCCGGTGCTCTAGGGTGTGCTGCCCCCACGCGCTGGGACAGCAGGTGCCGCCTTCTGGCCCTGGGCCCCTGCGAGTGCAGCCTGGCCTCCGCGCGGGTCTCCTCCCGCCTACACCTGCGGCTCCGTGTTTCCAAGGCGGGGCTGGGAGAGGACACGCCCTGCTTCTTGCCGCCGCACCCTAACTGTGCTGCTCTTCCAGAGTAGGACAGCGGGTGGCCCAGTCCCGTCTTTCCGGGTTCTCGAGCAGGTCCCCTTTCCTGCCCTCCAGCTCGGAAAACGGCTGAGAAGAGGGAGCTTCTTTCTAAACCCCTGGACGAGTGTCCTGAAGCTGCCTTCGTCCAAGAAGCCTGAAACTTGCCCACTGGCTTTCGCATCCCTGCGTGGCGTCCCTCTTCAGGTGGCCACGTGCAGGCTCACATGGCCAGGACATTTAGCCGTGTCCAATGACGGACAAGTCACACTGGCCACTCCCTCCCCCCGTCTCCCTTCCCCTCTGGAAGATTGGCTGCTTCGGCCGCCCAGCAGCAGCTCTGGGTGAGCCCTGCGACTTGGGAGACCCACACTGGTGCCTCCTGTACACAGGGCAGTGTGCTCGGCCGATCGGAGAACGTCCACGGCTAAGTGGCTTGCCCGTGCCTGTTCCGGAGGCCCCTCCCTTTCCTGCAGCCTCACCCCTCTTGTGCACCCTTCGAGGACTCAGTCCTAGCACCCTGTTCACCTTGTCAAAACCTCTTCCTAAAGAAGAGGCTCATCATGTCCATAGCATCTCAGTGTAAATTAAATTACCTTCCTCTAAGGGCATTTCCATGTTAAACCTTGCTCTGCATCATGTAAGGGGAGGGTGGATTTTAGAGGGGACCTGGGAGAGAAGACATCAGGGGATTTGCATCTCCCCACAGATACTTCAGTCTGTGAAATGAAATGCATACAAAGCACCTAGTGCAATACCCCGCACATAGTAAGTGCTCACTAAATGTGAGCTCCCTCTCTTCCCATTGCAGCTGGTACAAATAGTACTCAGGGTGCTAAGCTTCAACTTGGTGAAGAAGAAAACCACAGCCCTGGGGCCATGTCCTCTATGTCACAGTTGAGGCTGAGGGCAGTGGCTCTGGCACTTGCTTTTGCTGAGAGCAGGACAGCACTCCCTGTGCTCAGCGGTCCCCTGAGAAGTGGGGCCGCCTGCCTGCCACCAGTCTGCGTCTGCAGTCCATCCTGTTGTGCCTCGCCGGGGCACGCCCACAACCCCTCCGCTCCTCCTGGAGCTCTGACATCACTCTCCTCCAGACTATGGGTGGGCTGGAGGACAAATGTCATTCCAATTTTACAGAAAGGGAAACTGAGGCATGGGGTGGGCTAAGTGACTTGGGCCAGAGGGTAAGTGAATAGGGGTCAGAACTCAGATCTTCATGGGTCCTAGACCAGAGCCTTCTCCCACATGGAGCCCTCACCCTAATCTTAACGCTGCTGCGGCTCCGTGGCCGCATCATCGACCACAGGAGGACGGGGCGCAGCAGTCGCATCTGTGTGTGTCTGCGTGCAGGCGTGCTGGCTCGCTTGCTGAGGGGAGGGAGGAGGGCTGGCGGTTCCTGACGTACTCTCCATCCTGGACACCATAGGTGCCACTCCCGGGACAGCCAGACGGCCATGGTGTGCCCAGAGGACGTGTCTCCCGACAAGCCCTATGAAATGAAGACGAACGAAGACCGCGAGTCCTGCGGCGAGCCCAGCCTGCTCTCCACAGAGATGTGAGCTTGGCTGCCTTCTGCCAGGCCGGCCGGGGCGGGAAAGGGTCTGGAGAGGCGGGGCAGTCCCTGAAACCCCTCCTGTGGGTGTGGCCGGGGAGGAGAGGAGATCACATGCCATAAAGCACGTGCGCAGCGTCTCAGCTCATTAGGGGCTGGGGAGCCCCCGTCGCGCACAGTCCCTTTTAGCTTGGCCTTTCCTCACTATGAAGTGCTGCCAACATCGTTTCTTAAACTTGTTAGGCTGTAGCCAACAGTTACGGATGGATTTTCTAGTAAGACTCAGTACACATGTACATACGTTGACTATTAAATGTTTCATGAAACTATTAAGTACTTAAACAACAAAGCTGCCCAGAAGAGGGCACTGTTGGCAAATCCAGGGCTGAGATTTTTCTCGATGCAGGAATTTGGGAGTTTGTTTTTGTTTTTTTGAGAAAGAGTCTTGCTCTTTCACCCAGGCTAGAGTGCAGTGGTGTCATCCTAGCTCACTGCAACCTCAAACTGCTGGGCTCAAGCGATCCTCCTGCCTCAGCCTCCCGAGTAGCTGGGACTACAGGCATGCGCCATGACACCTGGCTAATTGTTTTATTTTTTGTAGATACAGGGTCTTGCTATGTTGCTCAGGCTGATCTTGAACTCCTGACCTCAAGCGGTCCTCCAACGTAGGCCTCCCAAAGTGTTAATTAGGATTACAGGCATGAGCCATCGAGCCCAGCTGGGAGAAAGGTTTTTTAACTGCAGATCTAGACCGGTAAGGTTATGACTTCCATTTGGTCAGTTACAACTGGCACTTTTAAAAGAACAGCACAGCATAGTAGAAAATACCAGAGTGTATCAGATGCCACAAGGGCAAGTACTGTACTGTGAAACATTTGCTTAACTGCCAATATGTGTATGTGTCTACTGAGCCTTCTGTAAAATGACTTTAAGACTGTGGGCTGCATTCGAAACAAATTAAGACCTACTGTTTTGGAAGCTTGCCTGCAAGTACTTTACAGTGAGGAAGGACCAGCCTTTCAGGCTTTTGAAGAAAGGAACAGTGTGGCTGGAGGTCGTGGGAGGGGGACACCAGCCCCCACCCCAGGGAGTGTCGGGAGAGGCCAGCCACGGCCTGCCCTCCCTGGGGTCCGGGCACTGGGCTGGAACAGTAGCAGAGGCATCTCTTTCTCCCCTGGTGTAAAAAGAAGAATCTAGTAAGGAAAACATGGAGATAGTAGCTGAGGCCAGCGACTCCTGGCAGATCAGTTAACCGCCCAAGCCTTCATGCCCCATTGGCAGAACAGGGCAGTGGGGGCTGAATGACCTATTTTTCTGACTTAATGAAACATAGTATATATAAAGCCAAAGGAAACATCTGAAGTTCCTTAAGAGATAACATTCTCTAAACTGATTTTTAGAAAGTGCGAATTAAAACGTGGCCACCTCTTCTAGAAATCAAGAACAGCAGACGCTTTCGCCCACCTAGGCTTCTACCGATGCTTGGGCCACCAGACACCCTGCCAGCTCAGGAATGACGGGGCTTCACCCTCAAGGAGGTTTTAGAAGCTAGTTAGGAAGCTAAGAGGATCTCAGAAGAGGAAGATGACAGGGCGATTTTCTAACTAATTGCCCACAGAATGCCCCAAACCCCGAGGGGTATAGGCATTCAGAGAAGGTCAAGGGGCAGGGTGACCTTAACGGTACTGCGCAAGGTCACACAGAAGCCAGGTCTGCAAGAGTGGGGAGGAACTGCCCAGGAAGGAAGTATACCAGGAGGCTGACCTAGCTGAGAGTGAAAACCAGGCTTGGGGCCTAAATATGTGAGGTTTTCGCTCGGCAAATGTTCCCGCATGTCTACAAACGCCTGAAGTCACTGGGCTGCTCCAGGAACAGGGCAGATTCCTCGGCGGTGAGGGATGGCACTGGGGACAGAGCCAGTGGCCTCAGCTGGACCCTGAGGTGGGAATGCAACAGCGCTTCTTGGACTGTAGGCCGCACCACTAGGGATTGTGAGATCCATCTAATGGGTTTGCAGCTGACATTTTTTGATAAAATGGAACAGACTACAGTGGACTAGAACCCATCGGAGTGCAGCGCATGCAGCGAGGGCAGGCGTGGGTCATGAGGTTTCATCCAGTTAGGCATATCTGTGTGTACTGGGAACGTGTACAGTGTATTTCTTACCGTGAGTTGCCATCGAAAGGCCTGGACGCCTGCTCTTCTCGGGCCAGGTGCCGGCGTGCTCTCGGTGATGACGGGGCTGGCGGGCGGGGGCAGGTCCGGGCTGCAGCTGGCAGCGGCCGTGGTGACCAGCACCAGCATCTGCCAACACAGAGCCTCAGCCTAGGATTTTTTCAGCTTTCTCAGCACCTTCTCCCCAAGAGTGCCTCCAGCGCCCCAAATCAGAAAACGAAGCTTGTAAGAGGCTGTGGGTGAGGAGCTGGAAGCCCCAAGGACACAGGCCTTCCCTCGGGACAGAAGCAAACTGTGTTCTGGGGTGGCAGCTGTCCCAGTGGGTGGCCTTTCTCAGCCGGGAACAAGCCCCAAGCGTTCTCTGTTCCAGGCTTTCCTACCAGGATGATGAAAATCGACAGTTGACGCCCCCAGAGGACAAGAGGGACATCCGGCAATCCCCGAAGAGGGGCTTCCTTCGCTCTGCCTCACTAGGTAAACAACACCTGCTCTCCCTTGTGGCTGGTGGTCACCCCCAAGAGGACCCTGGTCAGGTGCTCAGCCATGACTGAGAGGCCCTGTGGTCTGGCTCCAGCAGAGCCCACACAGCGGGCCGGGCAGGTTTCCAGAGCGACAAATCGGGATTTCAAAGGCAGGGCTTGCCGGGTGGGCCCTGGCCATGTGCCGCACAGCATGTCTCAGAGACCAGGCAAGGGCCAGGAAGGAGGTGGCTGCAGGGCCACAAACAGTGTTCCCCGCACCCCCCAGGCCAGTGTCCTCTTGCTCTGCCCTGATCCTGGATCTGTGGCTGGCTTTGCAGGTCGAAGGGCCTCCTTCCACCTGGAATGTCTGAAACGACAGAAGAACCAAGGGGGAGACATCTCTCAGAAGACAGTCCTGCCGCTACATCTGGTTCATCATCAGGTAGCTCTTTGGGACAGGCTACTGGCCACCACCTAGCAAGCTAGACAGTCCCCAGGGTGAGGGACTGAGATGGCAGTCAGTCTTCCCTGTCTCAGACCACGAGGACCTCCCCCCGGCCCCGACAGCCCCCGGGAGGCCCTACTCTTCCTATGCAGGCAAGAGGGTCTGTCGTGTCACTGGTGGAGACCTGGGAGACACTGGCAAGCAGGAAGTCTTCTCTTGATCCCGAGGGGTCAGCAGCACAGGGTTCCGCCCAAGCTTTGTCCTTCTGGTGCTGCAGATGCTCCCCGCCAGGCACTGGCTGAGGCTGCAGGGCACCCAGGCAGATGCGGTCGCACCTGGAAACGTAGCTGCACAGAAATCCATCCACTGACATACAGAAGTGATCAAAGAACGCGCCAGCAACATGGTCGAGAGGAGGGAATGATATCTAAGGAAGACAGGTCCGGGGAGATTCAGTAGGTGAACTCTCAGCAGGGCAGACTCCAGCTGAGAGAGTGAAATCTGACACCGGGACCAAATATATTCTTAGTATCTTAGAACTAACTTCAAAGAGTTGTCTAAGGCCAGTCTATTAACTGCAGGCAAATTGGGGTCTAAACCTGGTTTCCCAACCTTTTTACCTTTTTAATTATATGCTCCCTTACCATAGACCCATGCTTTAGGTGTCTTTTTTGTACCCAAAGGCATTCAGCTGCCCAGCAAAGCTTATAATCAGCGTAAGAGACCAGCGTGGCTCAGCTAAGTTGATGCTCCTCAAAGAAATACATTACTTTGCTTGGCCTGTGTGGCGTTGCCTACATGTGCATGGTTTCCACCAGGCTTTCCAAAATGTTGACATGGCCTTACACCCGCTCAGATCCCCAGGGACTCAGGAGCCCCAGGCTGGGGACCACCACGAGCTGGGGAGGGGAGGGGGCCAGAGGTAAGGACATGGTCTGTGCTATTTGGAAAAGATTTCTGGCAGTCAGTGGCACCCCGCTGCTGTGGTCACACCGGTAGGCAAGGCTCTCTTCTTGGTTTGGGGCCTCATCGTCCGTCTCCTCCCTCCCACCTGCGGGGGGGTGGTGGTCTCTTTCTCGGCCTCTCAGAGTTGGCTCTCCCACCGCACTGTGTTGCCGTCCCCGGAGCACATCACACCAGAGCCGCTCTCACAGGGCCTCTGTCCAGGGCCGGTCATCACGACAGCTGTGACACAGGCCACGGTCCCTGCCCTGAGGATGCCATATAGATCATGTAATGACAATATAGTGTGAGATTTAGTGGCTCAAAGGCAGCCTGAGCCAGAGATTGGCAGGGCATTGTTCATGGCCCAATTAATTACAAAAAGTAAAACAACAAACACTGGTTTTGTCTAGCTCTTTCTAATGTGCACTGTGCTTCCTTGCAGACCTTATTTCACTTGACCTTCACACCAACCCCACGAAGTAGACGGAGAGAGAGGACATTAGTGTTCCAGTTTACGGATGACGCAGGCATTACCGTTCTCTAGTCCGCTGATGAGAAAACCAAGACAGCTAATAGGGCCAGTGCTAAGAAGCAGATTATATTGGTCCCACTCAATCACAGCTTCCTAAAGTTAGAGGAAAAAGAGATCACTTCAGACCGAGACGATCATAAAGTATATTTTGAGATGGCTGAAACTTACGCCAGGTCTTGACGAGGCAGGGCGCAGATGAGAGAAGAAGGGGTGCGACTGCCAGGCAGGCGGGACTGGCTGGGGAACAACGGCTGCAAAGCAGCGGTCGCGCAGAAGGCAGAGGCTGCCTTTCCCAGGCCGACCACTCCGATAACTCGTGCTCCTTGTGTGTCCACAGGCGTTGGCGGTAGCTGGCCTGAGCCCCCTCCTCCAGAGAAGCCATTCCCCCACCTCGGTCCCCAGGCCGTTCGCCACGCCCCCTGCCACTCCGGGCAGCCGTGGCTGGCCCCCGCAGCCCATCCCCACCCTGCGCCTGGAGGGGGCCGAGTCCAGCGAGAAGCTCAACAGCAGCTTCCCATCCATCCACTGTGGCTCCTGGGCTGAGGGGGCCGCCCCCGGTGGTGGGGGCAGCAGTGCGGCCCGGAGGGCCCGGCCCGTCTCCCTCACAGTGCCCAGCCCAGCGGGGGCGCCAGGCAGGCAGTTCCACGGCAGTGCCAGCAGTCTGGTGGAAGCGGTAGGTGACTCCCGCCGTGCAGCTGGCTGGGGGGAGGCCACGGGCAGCAAGGGGGCTTGGCACGGGGAGCTGGGAAGGGAGTACCTGATTCCTTCCCAAACTGATCGCATGTCAAGCCTCTGCACCAACAAGACCTTCCCACTCGGGGCCTGCAGGAGGAGGGGGTGGCATGCAGGGAATCGTGACTATGTAAGAAGCCATCGGCTTCTCTACAGGCCGGGCCCACCGCAGAGGGAGAAGGAAGCTTCTGCGCAACATGTCCCTGCCGCAGGCCAGTGAGGCTGAGGAAGGCCCTGGGCCCCACTGTGGAGCCAGCCACGTGCTGGGACTGCCCGAAATGCACATGTGCTTGGGCTGCATTGTACGCATGGGGGTCAAGCTCTGTGGTGCTCACCTCTGACTGCTCATGAGAACCACCCAGGGAGCCCCTGAAACCCCTGACACGTTGAACTGATACTTTTAAAAGCTCTTGGGTGTCTCTAATGCACAGCCAGGGTTGAGAGCCACTAGTCTAGAACAAGACAGCTTCCCGTTCCACTGCACTCTGCCTGGTCACCGCGTCTAAGGACAATCCTGGCACCACATTTTAAGGGACCTTTGACAAATTGGAACAAACCCAAAGGAGAACGACAAGGCCCCTAGAAATCATTCCATAGGAGAGCAGGTCGAAGGAATCAGGGACGCAAACCCAGGGGCATGACCTGTGGTGTGCTTCTCACACCTGCAGTGCGCAAGCACAGGGAAAGGTCACAGCCTGGGCAGGGGGTCTGCAGTGCAGCTCACCTGAGGAAGACCTTCCCAACTAAGCTCTCCCAAAATCAGGAGGGCTATCCTAAAAAGTAGGGAGCCCCCCAATATCTGGACATACGCAAGCAGAGACGGCGCCCATCCGGCCATCAGGCTGCCGTGCGGGAGGTGGGGAGTCAAACCAGATGCCTGTAAAGGTCCCTTGTAGCTCTAAGTTCTGATGCTCAGTGTGGCCTTGGTGATCCTTTGTTCATCTCACGACCCCCTACTGAGCGCCTGCCACATGCAGGCCCTGATCTAGGTACGGGGTACAGCCGAGAACCAGAGCTGCTGCTCTCAGGAGCTCGCACTGCGGTGAGCAGAGAGAGAGTCGGTAACCGAAGCCGGGCAAGGAAAGAGTGATTGATGTGGGTGGGGGAGCAAGACAGTCGTACACCTGGGAGGAGAGTGTACTCGCTGCCTCCTCCCACCCCTCGGCTCAGGAGCCAATTTCCCCAGAGCCAGGCACTGAAGCAGCCAGTGGGGAAGACGGAGGAGGTTTGGGGGTCCCCTGCGGCCGCCCCCAGCAGGAGCGGAGGCAGGTGCACGCACAGTGTTTGCACACGTGCTTCTGGATCCTCTCCCTGGAAGGGCGGCCACTGGCAACGGGCAGTGGGCACAGGTTAACAGTTTCACCGAGGGAGAATGAGGGTGTCTGGAAAGGAATAGCATGAAAGGCATCTGTGGGTGCCAGGGAGGAGGCGAGAAGGGTAGGCTGGGATCTGCAGGCAGAGCCCCTGCGGCCCTTCTGTGGGCCAAGTCTTTATATATCTGATGGCAGCTTTCGAGCACCCCAGCCAGAATGCCTCTCCTCCGCCTACACGTCCCTGAGCCCTTTGGCGATGCTCTTCCCTGCTCGCTTCCCGCCCCCCCCCACCCCCGCACGCACGTGCAGCTTCCGAGGCTGCCGGTCAGAAGCCCCTCGGTGGCCCTCGAGGAAGAGTGGAGCCCCAGTAACGATGTTCCTTTGCTTCTTCACCGCGGCCCTCCGCCTCCACCCTCCAGGTCCTGATTTCGGAAGGACTGGGGCAGTTTGCGCAAGACCCCAAGTTCATCGAGGTCACGACCCAGGAGCTGGCGGACGCCTGCGACATGACGATAGAGGAGATGGAGAGCGCGGCAGACAACATCCTCAGCGGGGGCGCCCCGCAGAGCCCCAACGGCACCCTCTTACCTTTTGTGAACTGCAGGGACCCGGGGCAGGACCGAGCAGGGGGCGAAGAGGACGGGAGCTGCGCGCGCGCCCCGGGGCGCGGGCGGAGCGAGGAGGAACTGCACGACAGCAGGGTCTACGTCCGCAGCCTGTAGTCGCCAGGGCTGGGGAGATGCTGGGTTTTTTATTTGTTTCAATGTTCCTAATGGGTTCGTTTCAGAAGTGCCTCACTGTTCTCGTGACCTGGAGTTAACCGGAACAGCGTCTTCATTCATTTCTGTCGGGACAAGACGCAGAGTTGGGTGGTGTGGAGAGTGTTTCGGGGCGAGAGAGGCAGCAGCCGTTTGTGCGCAGGGAGGCAGCGCGCGGAGGAGGAGGAGGCGGCAGGAGAGGCGGCAGACCGGCCCTCTCCTCACCCCGCAGGCTCTGCGCCAGGAGCCAGCGGTCGCCGCCGGGCGGAGAACCTCAGCTTCCTGCAGCAGCCCTCACCAAAAGGACCCTGCAGCCAACGGGTCCGTCTTTCAACTTTGCTTGTAAAAAAAAGATCATTTGCGCATATTCTGTATGAGCCTCACTGTCTCCCTAGAGCCAGGGCCCTGTGGATTTGGAGAGGGGAGCGGGGCAGGACTTCCGGCGAGGACCCCGGCCCACCCCGAGAGGGAGGAGGAAGCAGCCAGAGGCTGGAGGCCCGGGGGCCGGGGCAGCGGTGCAGCTCCACCCCAGACGGCCACACGGTGGCGGCGGCCCAGCCACCTCCGCCCGCGGCGACAGGATCGCTTCACCGACACACGCTCCAGACCAGCAGCCGGGCAGCAGGCAGCTGGAGGAAGGAGCCGGCGCTGCCCACCAGGGAGGGGCCCCCAGCTCTCCACAGACGACAGACGAGGTGGTGCTGAGCTTCTGTTGAGCGCTCTTTGGTTTGGTTTGACGCTTTTCTTGACAGCATGTTGCGGTTTTGATTTTTTTGTGTGGTTTTTTTGGTTTTTGGTTTTTTTAAATTTTGTTTTCCCAGGGGGAGGGGAGGAAGAAGAGTGTTTACAAAGTCCTGTAGCCACCCAACCTTACTGTTTTCACTTTCGCAAATGCAAGTCAGGTTTGGTTTTACTGTGTTATTTAAACGGTTGTGGTTTCCTTTTTCCATGGAGGGGTCAATAGGAGCCGCTATAGAAGAGTTTTACCAACCATTGTGTATGCCCAATAATTTGTTATAATTTCCTTAGGTAGTAGCCGTTTTTTTCTGGTTTGGTTTGGTTTTATAATTTAAAGGTTCGGCAATGCACTTGCTACAGTCTTGCACACGTGGGTGGTCGGGCTAGGTTCCTTCTTATGCTGGGTGTACCGGTGGGTGCAGGAGAGAGCGCGTGGGTGAGTCTCCGCGAGCACGTGTGGGTGCCAGTGGGTCGTCCGTGCAAATGTCCTGCGTGTGTGCAGCACCGACACCGTGTGCCTGTGCACACCAACGAGTATGCAGTCCCCCTTTCTGGCTTAACTGCGGAGAGATCTGAATCTGGGGCCATTTGAAAGCAAAAACAAACCACTGTCTCTGCTTCTGAAACGGGATCAGTAACTCTTTGCATTTTCTGTCCCACAAGATATGCAAAAACAATGCAATAATATTCACTTTAAAAATACAATTGTGAGTTGTGTTGGCATTAAAACTGTATTTAAGAAAACACAGAAATTTAAGGGAAAAACTCAAGAAAGCATTTTGCTGCGATATATTCCGTGTAATGTTTTATTGCATTGATAATGTTTCTGTTGAAGAAACCGTTATACTTGAATTCAGGTCAGTTTCAGTATTTTTCAAATATTTTTTTAAAACTGAATTGCAATTGTGCCAAGCGAATATAACGAATCGAATTAAGTTTGTTTTTGAATTTCACTTCTTGTATATTTTGCTGCATGTAAAGTAAATCATTTTGTATTTGGAGTGTGACAAGCTTTACCTTTGACCTCTTAAGTGCTTTTCTATATGTGGTTGGGGGAAAGGGAATGACTTTCCTTTTAATTTGTACTGATGAGCAAAAGTTCCGCCAGTGTACGTCATTACTCCACAGACAGGTTTGGACATTACCGTTTTGCATATCTTGTGTTCGCTTCCATCCCCTCAGTTTTTCCACAATCGTCTGATAGGTGTATTCGTACCACATCCTGCTGGAGAGACCAGGACGTATTTTACTCCAGTCTTCACTCGATCCGCTCTGCTCTGCTCTGGCTCTCCGGTTTGGTACTTCTCCAGGGAGAGCCCTTCACTGTGAGAGGTAGTGAGGTCTCCTGCCCAGCCTCTCGGCCGCCAGCTGGTGGCAGTGCCCCCCACGGCAGCAGTGGCTGGCTGTCCCTCGACTCCCGGGCGCAGGCTTTTCTCACTGGTTTCCTCAGGAAAGCGTACACTGACCGAGAGGATGAGATCTAAGTTGGGCTGGTTCTGACAGCTGCTCTACGGAAATGCAGACAGCACGGGCTTGAGAAAGGCAGGCGGGTGAAACCTTGGTCCATCTGAACGTCACCTCTGCCGCACTCTTCCTCCGTCCCCATCCCTTCCTCACTGTAGACCAGACCTCCCCTAGTGTGTGTGGCCGCAGTGGAGGGGACAGGACAAGGGAAGAAGTATCTGGAGGTCACCTTGGTGGTGGAAACGGATTTCGTGGGGGCTTCTCTTATGCCTGTTTGCATCTACCCAGAACATCACCCTGTTGGCGCTGTGTCCTTCAAACGCATTTCAGCAGTGATGGCTGAGAAGGAGCCACTGTGGGGCAGCGGGGCCCAGCCATTCTCCCAGAGCTTACCCCTTGAGTCTCTTCCAGTCCCAGGGCTCCCTCGCCCCTCTTGTCACTTACGTGAGCAAGCTAGAAATTAAAGCAGGGGACAGTCCATTCCTCAGTGACAGTGTCATGAACTGATTCATGAAAAAGTGAAGAAATGTGTCAGATACTCCCAGGTCAACGTAGAGTCTAGAAACAGTTTCTTCATGGTTCTCCAAACCCACCCATCTAGACTTTCTTGGCCCGTTCTCAGTGTCATCAGGTCTTCTAGAAACTGAGTTTAGGTTTCATCCTTTGTCCAGTTTCCCCAAATTTCTGCCGCTGTGCTGCTAAGATTCCAGGTATGATGGACAGGGAGCCCTTTTGAACTGCTACCTGGTTCTTGCTGTACATTTGGCTTCTAGATACAAATGTGGAGTTTTGGTTGAACACACACTCTTTCAACCTTTTCTGCCTTCTATTTTCCTTTTGAACTTTTCATCTGTGTCACCAGATCTCACTGGCCAGTGGCGTGGGCTACAAGCCGGGTTCAGGCCAACTATTCCAGGGTCCTGCCTGGCCAACATGGTCCCCTCGCACCCACAGACTCCTTCTCCTCTGCAGACTCTGGCAAGCAAACCAGAGTAGCCTTCCTCCCCGCCCCCTACAAGCATGGTGTCAGCCGTGACAAGGGCACCTCGCCCTGTGCTGCTGCAAAGGAAGGAGGTGTGGACAGGAGTTCCCTACCTAGGGCAGTGGGCCTTTCCTAGCCTGACCTCCTGATAGACAAGTGTAAGAGTCACGTGTGATGGCTGTCATCGTGACAGATTGGTACAATGAGTCATGAAACCAGTGAACCGTGTCCACAATGTACTAAGTGATGTCCGCTCTCCACCTAACATGGAATTTTCCCTGTGACATTGTAAGACATAGTTGTCAAATCTTCGATAGCTTTCCTGACAACCCCCAAGTGGCAGGAGAAAACAGCCAGTGGCTGAGCACCAAAGGACTTGAAGAAATGCAGTTTAAGGTCTGCAGTTTGGTGAACTTAATCATTATTTGTCCTCCGACCAGCCCTGCCTCTTTTATTTCCACACCTTGGTCATGTAATGTTTATTCATGTGCATGGCCACACTGAGCAGAAAGATCTCTAGCTGTCTGCTTTCTGCCTGTTCCTAGAAGGTTCTTTTGGTCTTGTGGTAAAAAGAGGAGACTTTTCCCTAGGGTTTGGCTTGATTCATAAATTTTTCCCTGCTTTGATTCAGAAGCTATTAGTTATAGGTCCCTTCCGTCTTCCTAACCCAGTAGGCTTCCGTCTGGCTGGGAAATCCAGTCAAGGGAACAGCCATTCTCTCCTCCTCCCGTTTCCCTGGTTCCAAATTTCAGGTGCTTGTCTAGAGTGAAGCTGCCGATCACTTCCTCCCAGCCATCCTCCATCCAGAACGCTCCTGGCCATGCGGCTGAAGGTCATAAGGCGACCCCAGGAGAAGGCGACCTCTCCACGCCAAAGTTGATATCTTTCTGAGAAATAAGAACACTCTGAAAATGAGGAGTTGGGAAGTCATCAAAAGGATGATGGTGGCTTTACAGAGACCAGTTGACACACGCCCATCACTCCTAAAGGCAAAGAAATAGAACAGGAATTTAGATTAGGGATAGAGTAGAACCCTAGTCATCAGGGTTTTTAGCCTCATCAAACCATAACAGTAAAGGTTGCAAAAGAGGGTGATGGCATCTCTATCCCCAGGAGCCTCGAATAACTGAAACGTCATTGTCTAGGAGTTAGAAATAATTTAGCAAAGAGGCCAAGAAAAGGGCCGTCTGGCTTCCAGAAGACCTCTTTAAGCCCCGTGGGAGTCAGAAACTTGCTGTGAGAGTCTGGGCTTATTCTGTTTTTTGAAAGAGGACGTGGCGCTGGGAGAATGTCAGCACAGAGAGGCCGGAGGGGCAGGCAAGGGGCATACTTGACCCGTAGGTGTCTGTTCCCGTTCTGTGGAAAGACCGCAGCACGGCAGAGTGGCTGATGCCCCAAGGATCTGCTTGGGAAGATGGGAAAAATACCTTTCAATCTGGTGTTGTTTTCCCAGCCAAAGCCCCCCACCTGGGTGGATGTGGCAGGAGGGGGAGCCCTGATCTGCCCCCCACTGCAGCTGCGCTCCCCAAGTCCAGTTCTCCAGCCACTGTGTGTCAAGGAGCTAAAGGGGGAAGATGAGAGGGAAAGAAGGATCCTGCCACTGCCAGGGACAGGAGCGTCCTTGCCGCGGGCAGACCTCCCTCTCCCGCTGCCCTGCCCCAGCCTACGAGAGGCCCAGCGCGGGGCAAGGAGCCCCATGTGCGGACGCTGACAGTTGCTCTGTGAAGCCGCTTCTGGTTTTAACTTTATTTATTTATTTATGTATTTTTATTTCGAAGCAATGAAATGCTGCTTTATGGAGCCAGACGCCAATATACCAGGTAAATGGGTTTCTGCCAGGTTTCTGCATC